AAAAAAAAAAAAAAAAAAAAAAAAAAAAAACTAGAACAAAGGGGGGTTTGTCTAATTAATCGACCGAGTTGGAGATAGCAAGAAAAGCAGTCGTATGGCTTTCATTAATTTGTCGCAGGACCTTCCAATATGGTTGTAACGCCAGAAAAGGGTTACATATGCTTTATTAAAAAAATAAATAAAAAAACCGCCTCCACTGCCCTTCATTGTATTCAGCTTCCAATTTAAAAATAGCAAAACAAAGGAAACAAAAAATCTATTTTCTGGCACATGGCACAGCTTTGGTGACTTACAGGAAGTTACAGGGAAATATCACAAAGGGAATATAAAATAATTAAGGACCATGGTAAGTTTAAAGTTTATGTACCAAAAAAGCATTCATAGCCAAAACAATATTTTCTTTAATGCACAACTCACAAAACCAGATCGCAGGACCTTCCAATATGGTTGTAACGCCAGAAAAGGGTTACATATGCTTTATTAAAAAAATAAATAAAAAAACCGCCTCCACTGCCCTTCATTGTATTCAGCTTCCAATTTAAATTTAGCAAAACAAAGGAAACAAAAAATCTATTTTCTGGCACATGGCACAGCTTTGGTGACTTACAGGAAGTTACAGGGAAATATCACAAAGGGAATATAAAATAATTAAGGACCATGGTAAGTTTAAAGTTTATGTACCAAAAAAGCATTCATAGCCAAAACAATATTTTCTTTAATGCACAACTCACAAAACCAGCGGATGATTTAGCATCTCAAAGTGCATATTCTCTGAGAGCAAATTCTTTACTGGAAAAAGACTAAAGCGCTCTAGTGAGAGAATAGGGATATGGACTAATTCCAAGTGCCTGTTAAAATGTAAAACAGATTCATAATTACAATTCCAAAAACCAGAAAGAATGTCACATTTTCTACTGGTCTGGACAACTGTTAATACAATTTATTAAACCAGAACAAACAGATGGTCTGAAAATGTTTGTGACTGCCATCTTAAAACTGTCTGTTATAACATAAACATAAGACTATTTCTAAAAGGTCCAAGCATGATGTAGTGAGAATTGTGTTGCAAGAGACCAGAAAACTCTAGGAACCTACGCATCTTGCAATTTTAAAGCAAACTTGTCAAGTGGAGTGGAAAAAAAAAATAAGTCCACCTCAACAAATGCCCAAAAACCTGCAAAAAGAAAAATGGCCTCAATCATTGCCCACACTGCACCTCATATCCTTCCTGGTGCATAAACCTTCTGTGTCCCCCTGGTGCGCCAAGTGGTTTCTCCCATCTACCTCCCTGTTACAGGACACAGTAGAGACATGGAGGTCGAGGGGGAAAAAGAAATGCACAGGAGATTGACAGTTCTAAAAGTGTTTATTTCTTAGTGGATGTCAGAGGAAGATTCCTCTTAAATGGCACACCATAGGTAGCAGAAGAGGTACTTGCAACTTTTGAAGGTAGACCTTTTAGGGCACATAGAACACAATGGTTTTCCATGTGCACCATCCACACTAAAATGTGGGTGTGATGTGCAGTGTAGAAAAATGCAAACATGCTAAATTTCTCAACAGTGCCCTGGATGATGAAGCAGTTTTAGCATGTGGACTAGTGGAAAAAGGAAAAGAGTTAATCGCAAGCTTGCACAAAATATTAGCGAAGTTTGAAGCGGCATTGTTGAAGCCTTTAAAGCACCATTTATCTCAGAGAATGTGCTGACTTTCCCTTTAAATTTTCACTACTGAATACATTTCTTAAATGTTTTCACGTTAAAATTGTTGCAAATGCAACAGCATATATAGGATTGTATTACGTGTGTAATTATGTATTTTGAGCTGTGGATGGCGCAATGCTAGTCTGTGTGTGCATGTTTGTCTATGATATATACAGGAAGTTCTGTGTATGCTGTATAAAATGTTGTATTCCGATATGTTCTTCCAAGCAAGACTTAGATTAAAACCCAATTCAGCATTTCTCAAGATCTCATTTGCTTAGTCTAAACACATAACCAAGAAAAATAAACAATTAAGGCTTGAAGATAAGGCCATGTTCACAACAAAAGCGTGTGCGTTCTAGAGCGGTATCTGCTGGAACGCACCGCGATCGCTAAGAAACTTCTCCCTGCGTTTTGGGGAGGGGGCGTGACGGTGCATTGTAGTCAATGGCACCGCTTCCCCCCCACACGCAGTGCGATCGAACGCGTGGCAAAACTTTGCCAGCGTTCCGTTCCACTGCAAAAACGCAAAAAATAGAGCTTGCACTATTTTTTGCGTTTGCAGTGGAACGCAATGCTCTGCAGTGCAGAATAAAGGCATGGTAGGTTAGTAATAGGGAAAAGATGAGCTGCTGGGAGACCACAGACAGTAGTGGTGACTAGTTCTTTGCACTCTGCCTACCAATTTTTGGGCCAAGCTTCCAGAGTTCACTAACTTTTTAAAGGCTTCAACAAAGTTGCACATAGCTTGCTGAAAACTTTGCAAATATTTTAAAAGTGCTTGTTGTACACACTGTTCTTATACAAGATGAAGTCCATATGTACTAAGGGCTTTAACTGCCAACAGATTGCTTGTACGCCTAGCATCCTCTGGATTTCCTTCTGCTATAGGATCATGGCTAGGAGGTGCACCAAAAAAAAAATCCTAAACCGAAGGACACAGAGTCCACCTCTTTCTGCAGCCCCTGTTATAAACAGGAAGCTTCGATACCAGGGTCAGGGGTGTGGAAATTTTGGAAAAAACTACTTGTCCAAGGACTAAAACGGGGGCCGAATCTACTTGTCCCTCATGACAATCTACTTGTCCTGATACAAAAAAAATGATGTTAACCAAAACCGTATTTAGTAGTGCTAAGAAGCGTTTCTCATTGGTCAATGCCGTCAGGTGACCGCGTTGACCAACGAGTGCTTGCAATTTGCGAGCGAAATTCAGAATACATGGAACAGGTACAGATTGTACACCCGTACTGGTGGACGTGAAGGACCGGTCGCCGAAAGGTAAGTATAGTGGGAGGGAGATTGAGATTTGTGCGGGTAATTCCATTTCGAAATTACTTGGGAAAGTGACTATACCCTTTTAGGGTGGGTGCAGACCTGTGGATTCCCGGGACGTGCGAACGTGTGCGGTTGCATCCGCATGTATGGGGTTACATCTGGGTGGCAATCGCTGAAAAAAAAGGTACATGTACCCATTTTCACGACATGCACCGCGCAGTGTATACCCGGGCGGTATTGCAGCAGGAAAACGCGCAATCTGCCTGGCACGACTGGGGTGCCATTAGAAAATAATGGCACTGACAGTACGATCGGCGGTGGTGTGCGATTCCGTGACCACCCAGCCATCCGCTCGGTTTCGTGCACGATGCCCGGACAGTCACAGATCGCACACCACAGCCGATCGCGCTGGTAGTGCCACTATTTTCTAATGGCACCCCAGTCGTGCCAGGCAGATTGCGGTGTTTCCCGAGCGGTAGCACACAATCGCAGTTGAAAACACTGCGCGTTTATTCGCATGCAAATGGGGCTGGTTTTCATTTTTTCAAATGTTATTAAAAAAAAGGAGAACTATGAGGTGAGTGCTTTTCACTCACCTCATAGTTCTAGCCGACCTGTGACAATGAGACAGTCACAGGTCGGCTCAGTAGATCGGGAAGTGAGCAAACACATACCGGCGTTCGCTCACCTCCCGATCCTAGCCCTACACCACCCTCAGTTCGGTCAGAGGGGGCTTCTTACTATTGAGTAGCTGACAAGCCGCTGAATGTAGCCACTCATTAAAAATCTGACCCCTGTAATTTCACACAGTGGTAATGCACATTTTGTGGGTTGATGCTGCTTTTCAACATGCTGCACTACAATTAAAAATGTATGCCTGGAGCTTTTTAAATGAGAATTATGACCTAAGGGCAAATAAAAATATTCCTTAACTTTACTGTATTAACATTCTTCCTCATTTCCAAAGTCACAGCACATCAGATAAATTGATCTAAAACGCACAGAAAATGGCCACCTGCAGTCTTACGAACATGCCACACACCCACGACAATCGTACGATTAACTGCAGGTTTTCGAACATGTTCCCAAGATAAAAGTCGTGCGACCGTACAGTAGAAACGGTTGCACGCCTTCCACACCTTGTGATAATCGTACGATCGCAGGATTTCCCGTGATTATCGCAAGGTGCATGGGCACCTTTATTCTCCCTCTGCTGTGGCGTCGTTTCCTCTAATCGTGCACAGCCGTGTATGGCTGGAGCATGCACGCTGAAATATGGGAGTGGGAGGCGAAGTCTCAAGTGAAAATACTGGCAGCGGCAATAGATGGTAAGAACTACTGACTTAGCCTCCCTGTACTCTCATCGGTGCTCTGTCACGCTGACATCCTAGCAACTGCTGATCGGATGCTTGTCAGCCTGCAGGGATTCCCATAGTCTTCTGTAAAAACAGCAGTAAACAAGAGCTTACCTTTTTTGATTATTGAAGGGCAGAAGCTTCTGAACCGGGGACAGATGGAGAAGGAGGCAGGAAGGAGAATGAGGGCTACACAGCATTGTGTGCCTGGAAGACAAGTACAGGAGGACAGGGAAGAAGAGGTAGGGAGAGAGCTGCTGCGCATGCCCATATATTCGTGGACACGCAGCAGCTCTCAAGAAGCGCCGTCAGTCATAGTGACAAAGATCAGTGGGGAGGATCCCGACAGTATTGTTGGGATCTCTCCTCATTGCGGCGCATAGCCCCGACCACCAGCTTAAAGAAGTGATTAAAGGCTTAGCGTGCATTTTGGCTCATAGGAGTAAATTACACTATGTACTCCTTTAGCCTAAGAAATGCAATAATAAACTATGGAGCTCTATTTTTGTCTTCAACATGCTGCACAATATTATGTATGCCTGGGGCTTTTATCGCAACGCACACACAGCACTGGGGATCGGGCTTTACCATAATGTATAGGTGTGACGTCAATCTCCAGACTAAGTGCAAGAGACACACACCACACACCCTCTGGAGGTTAAAACTGGAGAGCAAGGCCTGACAGGCAATTAAACCTGAATATGATGGCTTTAGCATTTGCAATAAATAAAGTATTTTCACCTTGCATTGTGCGTTTCCCCAAGAACTTCATTTAGCTTGTCAATAAAACGAACAAACAGAGAAAGACCCTTCACGTGTTTTCTTAATGGATCAGATTCCGATGGAGCATAGCCCTTTCCACCAAGCTCTAGCGTCCTTATAAATGAAGTTGCCGCCTAGAACACAAAGTCACTGCTTCAGTTCAGGAGAATAACGCAATTTGCATGCACTATATAAGATAGATATCACAATTTTTAAATGGTTTATACCACAGGGCATTGAATTTATTGATGCGGTCTTGATTATGACAAGCGCATTTCAAGTGAACGGAATACACACAGGATGGTTGCCACCATTGACAGTCAAGTCTGATGCCATCCATCCATTTAAAAGTAGTGATACTGTTAAGGTGGCCATACACTGTACAACCATCGCAAGACCTTAGTCTTGCGATGGTTGTAAAGTGATAACAAAAAAACCGTACGATCTGCCCATCTTGGGCAGGCAGATCTCACTCTCGATCATCGCAAGCCCGTCCCCTTGAGGGGTGGGCTTCCGATGACCGCAATGCTGAACGGGCAGTGTGCGCGTGCGCACACCGGCCTGTTCGGTATTTGTCTCCCGAGCACCGTTCTAACCAGCCGAAAATCGTACGATTCTCGGCAGGTTTTCTTTTTTTGAAAAATTATTTTTATTAAAGTTTTATGTTACAAGTAACAACATTTGCACTCACAGCCATGAGAGCACACATAGAATGCAACATCACAACCCTGTACAACCCCTAAATAACCACGGGGAGTACTTGTATAAACATCAACATCCCCCCCCGTCTCCCCCCGAGCAGCAGCATATCACATGGCATTACATATTGTACCGTACAACATAATGAACATTTTCAGGGGTAACTTATACAGAGCATCCCATCTCCCCACATGTATTTGACCCCATCACCGTCTCATGGAATAGGCCTATCTACTCAGCCCGCAGTGTCTGTCAAGTCCACCCAGCCTCCCCAAACTTTAGTAAACTTACTAGGGCATCCCCTACTTTGATACGTGGCCTTGTAGAGGCTTAGATATGAATTCACTAGGCCCTTCCAGTCCGATATAGTTGGAGGTGTACTTTGCCGCCAACGCAATATCACCAACTTCCTGGCACAGTATAACAAAATTCCCAGGAAGATCTCGCAATGGTAGGAGCCAGGTGTTCCGTTAACCCTAGGATACATGTATTCACATCAGGATTAAAGGGCTCATCAACAAATTGTGACATAAAATGGGTAACTTCGAGCCAGAATGGTCTGACTCGCGGGCAGTCCCACAAAATGTGGACAAGTCCCGCCGGCGAATCAGAGCACCTCCAGCACTCAAAGCTGCTGCCCCCATAGATGCGGGCTAGTCTCGCAGGAGTGTTAATACACTCGATGTAAGATTTTAAATTGAATAAGCTTATCTCGAGCAGACACCAAGTGGCTAAAAAGGTAATCCCACACATCTTCCCATTCCTCATCCTTAAGCGTAGGTGCATCCGCCAGCCAGGAGCCTATCTCCTTCAAGGTAATGGGCTTATCCAGGAAATACCTATCCGCTCCTGCCAATTGCGTGATGGGAAGCCCACCCAACAAGTCCTGCAGTGCGCCCAGGTCATACTCAGGAATGCGGGAGTAAAGATCCTTGTAGTATGTATGGAACTCCTTTAGAATAAGAGGTGGGTCCGTTACCCTCTTCCCCGTGGCAGTCTGAATGGCCGGAATGTTAGTTAGTGACCTCTGCTCCGCCACCAACATTGCTAAGAGTTTACCGTTTTTGTCCCGCTTTTCAAACAACTTTTCCCTTGACAGCCGCCAGGAGCACTGCGTCAGCCCCACATGGTGCAAGTTAATGGAACGCCTTGCCTTCTTAAGTGCAGCCACCGTGGATTCGCCAGGGGAGTCTGCATATGCTGCTGCACATATTGCTTCCTCATCCTGAAGTACTGAAAGGGCAGCACTGTGCTCCCTGCGAGCTGCCTTGATACCAGAAATATATTCTCCCCTGGCGGTAGCTTTAAAAGCGTCCCAAACCACAGGTGCGGACGCAGTGCACACATTGTCGTGCCAATAGTTCAGCAATGCTGGAGATACCCTCTGAGCCACTCCCTCCTCCCGCAGCCACTCAGGCGACAGCTTCCAGCCTCCCGACCTCCGGGCACTGAAAACGTAATAGACAATGGGACATGGTCCGACAGGCCACCAGGTAAGTACGCAGCCCCGTTCACCATACCTAGCATGGCCTGGTTACCAAACGCCATATCTATCCTGGCCGAGGAGCCGTGGACATGAGACAGATGGGAGTACGGTCTGATACCAGGGTGCTTCCACCTCCACACCTCCTCCATCACAGCAGTCATATTCTCATGGTGAATGTCCGGGGGCGTTCTGGCGGCCGCCAGTATTTTGTCCCGATCCCTGTAG